GTATGTTTGTATATAAAATGGAAATACGCAAATTGACTGTTATAAGCGATTAGAGGTCAGTCACTTGTTCATATATAAAACCTGATTATTAGACTTAACATATTAGATTAGATTCAAGTGTTAGCAAGAATGGTAACATTTGAATTCAAGTGAATCCAAACTAAAAAGTTTCACATAATTAGTCAATCAGTCTTAAGGAACGTAAGACATGGTTTTCATCTGTATATGTCATCTCAGTACACAGGTTCATCTACTACCCACCTACATTGTATAAAACCATGTGTGAGTTACCTGTTGGCAACCTCTAATAACTTAACACCCCAGCATAGTGCACGCGGTATCAAGTTATTTGGACTAGTAGCCAAATTGCAACTTGATCGACAGAATTAGGTCAACAAAAACTAAACAAATATGAAGATGATCATTATTGAGTGATCAATAAGTTGTATGAGAGTTATAGATACCGCCCGGCTGTCCAAGTCGAATTGATGGAGTTTGGTTCAAAATAATAGTAATAATAATCATAATCATGATAACAGTAATCAGAACGAAGTAGATGACATGTGGTTAGCAATGGAATCTAAGACTCATCTTTTGTCCCATTTGTCATTCGTCAGCTGGATGTACCTGCATCCAAGAATTGACATACACTCCAACACTAGAACAGAGTTCGTTCACTACAAACAACATCATATTATCCACTCAGAAGCTACTGATTACAAATAATCCAGAAGTGAATATCGACTATAGGATACAGGGAAATCCAAATGACTAACATCAAGAAGAAATGAAACGAGAGTCATGGATTCCACTGTTAGCTACATTCCATCTATTCTAAATTGTGTCATAATGCTAATATCGAGACAAGCTACACATATGTCAACCGAGACAGATCATATTTCAGTCAAAATGATCACAACAGGATAATCCAAATCATTTCAAATTGAATGGAAATAATGATATTTATCGTTTTATTCAAAGCCGAGTACTTTACTCATTAAGGCACCACTGCTTAATTAAGTATGTATGTAATATTGGTTGTCATTTTCTACATAATTTACATAAAAACTCTCACAATTCTATTGTGAGCTTTATAGTTATTACTGTAATTAGTTGAGATTAATTAACAGAACTATATTTAACTAAGTTTTCACATATGTAAATGGTTACTTACTTACTTACGCCTGTTACTCCCGGTCCCAAGCCCGGCTAAATGACGAGAGTTGGCCATGGGAATAGCGACCCCATCCCGTAGAAAACTAACTCGTTACAAAAAAACGCTAGCCAGAAAAAATAACTCAATGTAAATGGTAATCCATGTAATAGATATATATTGTAATTAATAAACATTTATTTTGCCTCGTTGTTAGGTTAATCTATTTCACTTAGGGTCCCAGTCAGAGAAATTATATCGACAACTGCATCTCTGTGCTAATGTGGTTTGGCAACTTGAACGGATGTACGTACGTACAAAGTTCTACGTTGTTACTGACTGACTGACTGACTGACTGACTGATATCTAAACTGTTCAGGGTAATAGCGGGGAGTGGGAATGACATTCTCAACATATGGCTTTACTAATATATTTTAAGATAATTGATTTAAATAATAATGAAATTCAAGGTTCCCTTTTTGTCTTATTAAGAACTTGACATTAATTACTATGGTATAGATATACCTCTCAATTTCGTAAACAACAGTTATGCCACGAGAAGGCAGTGAGTAGGACTTCCCTGACAGTGGTTGTATGCACGTGGTCATGTGAGAGCATTTCGAGTGGGAGAACTGACTCTCTCCGCTTTCGGCCGTACCAGGGCATTTATGGACGAGAAGATAGTGGATGCATGTGTGAACTATGTCTTACGTCCCGTAAAACTGTTTGACTAATTATGTGAAACTTTTTAGTGTGAATTCACTTGAATTCAAACGCTACCACTCTTGCTGACATTTGAATCCAATATCCGTCATCCCAAACTTCAGAGAACTATTCAATTTAGACTATTGATTCATAATAATCACTAAACCGTTTACTGGTTGTACTATGAATTCATTATTCGTTAGATGAGGGTTGTTTAACTTACTATATCATAATATTGTGTAAGTATTTCAGTTATACTAAACAATTAGTTAAAATCCACAAAAAAAAGATCATTTGAAACAATGACAAAACTGGACTTACAAAAAGGTTACATTCATTGACTTTTCCAATCTACAATCTATCCACAACTGATGTAGTAACCTTTCTGGATTTGAAAACAAACAAAGAACAAAGAGACAATTTAATGACATTGTAGGGAGAAACACAGTTAACTCTCTTACACACACACACACACACTGGAACACACAAATATATAGGCAATAAATAATTTATGTACTTAACATTCAATTGAATGTGTATCGAACTGTCATTCTATTTAAATAATACTGAAAATATGAGGTATTCAATGTTGAAACAATATAATTGAACACTGAATATACATATTATTATATATAATGTCTAAATGTATACATTGAATTAAATGAGGGATATTAAATTTCACGTAACTTACCCAAGTCAAATACTCAGAAAAAGATATTTATATTTCAGTAGTTGGATTCATGAGTTAATTGAAGCTAGACCACTATGGAAAAATTTTGGAAGTACTGGATGGCTGTTTTATCCTAGTATGGGATTCCTCAGCAATGTGTATTCATGATCCCGACTCGTAAGACACAAACTCCGGGATATAAATATTCAGCACATCTTTTGAATAGCATGAGTATATCATTAAAAAGTGATGTTTTTCAATAATATTGTCGAATCCTCAGAAACTTAGTTACTTGTTCTATTGTTCACCTCTAATCTCAATAATTGACATTACAAAGTTATAGATCTTTCTCAGTCAGTCAATCAGTCAGCTATAACCTAGGACCAGGCACATAGATGCATCGGTTCAAGTTGCCACACCTCATTAGCACAACAAAATGAATACTGAATTCGTAGACTTAATTACTTCTACTATTTGGAGATTATTTAGTTGATGTAAAATATACAAGATAGGATTTTTTTGTACGCTTGAGATTATTGAATATGAATGTTAGATTATACAACCGTACTGATTGGTAAAGATCATTGAACACAATTGGATGCCGACTCAGTGGTCTAGTTGGTTAAGCGCTTGGCGCGAGACTGATAGGTCCTGGGTTAGAATCTCGCGGGGTATGGGATCGTGGATGCGCACTGCTGAGGAGTCCCGTACTAGGACGAAACGGCCGTCCACTGCTTCCAAGTTTTCCATGGTGTCTAGCTTCAATTGACACGTGATTTCAATCTGTGAAAGATCATTGAAGTCATCGGTTGATAATGTATGTTCAAATTAGTCGTAACATGGCAAATGTATTCATACATATTTATCTAAATTTTAAGTTTCAATATTGATTATTTCATACTTTTTATTCAATAAATTCTGTTCTTTCTTTTCAAACTATATTACTACTATTAATACTACTTATTTACTATATGCCTTATTAATTTATTAATAGAGTGATTATTCAGTGTTGGAACTTGGATTAAAACATATATCTATGGTAGGTTGTAGGTTGACTATAATTGATGAGAATCTGAGCGAGACTATAATTTATGGACGAACTAATCAAATCTTGGATTTCGGCGTGAATAGCGTCTTGGCATTTTTAGCTCATGTTAGTTTGTGATGAAAACCCTAAATCTAATCCTTATACTTAACCATCAACTGTAAATCATAAACCTTATCCTTCACAAAGGTTTATAATACTCATTTAGCTGTAGTAAGTAGATGGAGATTCTAAAGGTCACTTTAACGTCTCTTGTAGGTTGTATATAAATTATAGTGTCACCATTATTATGATCTTTATACTTGTTTTGTTGCCTAGTGTGTCGTGGTAAACATAAGTGAACTTTCTTCAATGTTCTAAGTGAACATAATCCATTTATTTAGTCAATGTTGAATATAGACCTACTTCATCTGATTTATCATAAGATATCATGACACAAAATAATGTTTAATTAGAATTATAAAGAATACTAAACACTAACCAGTTCATCAACTATATTCTGTTGTTATTCACTTACTTACACCTGTTAACCTTCGTGGAGGGATATAGGCCAACCACTAGCATTCTCCATCCAACCCCGTCCTGGGTCATCATTTCCAGTTCCCTCCAGTTCTTATTCATACTTTTCATATCTCCTTCCATTTCCCCATGTAATGTGTTCTTTGGCCATCCACTTTTCCCATTCCCTTCACGATTCCAATTTAGCATTTGCCTCGTGATGCAGTTTGGTGATTTCCTCAATGCATGTCTTATCGATTTCCATCGTCTTTTCCTAATTTCCTCTTTAGACGGAAGCTGGTTTGTTCTTTCCCACAGTAGGCTGTTGTTGCTTATGGTATCTGGCCAATGGATGTTGAGTATTTTGCGTAGACAGCTATTTATAAATACTTATACCTTCTTGCTGATGGATGCATTAGTTCTTCAAGTTCCAGCTCTGCATAGTAGAACTGTGTTGACGTTCGTATTGAAGATTGTGACTTTGATATTGGTCGATAGACAGTTGTTTTGGATTCCATACATTCTTCAATGGTAAGAATGCTGTAATTGCTTTTGCAATCCTCGCCTTTCCGTCTGTATCTGATCCTCCTTGTTCATCGATGATGCTTCCCATCTGTAGCTCTTCTAGAGTTACTACTGGTTTAAAACCCGGGTAAAAGAGGATGGTTGGACATATGGTTAGCGATTCCATCCCGTAGAAAACTAACTCGCTAAAAAAAAAAACGCTAACCAGAAAAATAATTCAAATTCTTTTTATCAGTATTAATTAACTCTATAACAAGAATTGACATTTATTAATGTATATTATCATTGTATCTCATTGTATTCTATCGTTTATAGTTCAATTCGATTAACATATTAACCTTTTGTTTCCCTTCTCTTTTTTTTTCTTGCAGTTCACTTAAATCTACATTTAATCATAAATCATAATGTCATCGAAATTCAAAAAGGATTCCTACAATTTAAAACATCCACCTTTCATAGCAACACCACCACCACCCCCACCACCGTCATCATCATCGTCACCATCATCTTTATTAAATAAACAAAATAAAAAAATGATTAAACGTTCAGTGACATTTGAACAAAGCATAAATTCAAAATCATTGTTATCTTCTATGACTTCTACCTCTTCATCATCATCATCATCATCTTCGTCTCCAATCTCACACTGTTGTACAAATTTATGTAATAAACAAAATACTTATACATTTTCATATTTATTACGTGTTAATCCTCCAATATTACCCGGTGATATATTGAATTATTTAGGATTTACTAAATCTACTTCAGCAACAACAACATCAACAACAACAACAACATCAACACCTATCTTGTCAAGATCAAATGTCAATGCAAATTCAACTGGAAAAGTCAGTGTACATTTCGTTTTGTATTGAAGATGTTTTCGTTTCTTTTGTTGTTGTTGTTGTTGTTCTTGTTTTAGAATTTGATATAGATATTTATAATGAATTGACATGAAATGAGGTATATTTGTAATCATTGTTAGTAAACTTCATCCTTATGAATATAGATGGGATCAAAGTTAAAGGATAATTCATAGATTTATGATAGTGATTAAAGAGATTAGCCTCCTAACCAGTAGATAGTAGATTTGAAATGTGCCCCAGATACTTTGGTTTAGGCAACCAGATAGAATCTATAATGCTTTATACACATAAACGCCATAGCTCAAAAACGAGTACAACTGTACTCCATAAATAGGTTACAACACTTGGGGTGGGGTAAATATCCATGAATTTGTAGCTCAACTGTCTCTTAATGTTCAATATGCGTATAATATCTAACAGTTTTCAGTTCATTTAACAGGTTAGTTCTACATATAAGAGTATAATTCTCATTGGAGATTTTATTTCAAGTTTTAACTTTCATGTTGGTTATTTTCATCTTGGAAGTTGTGATACACTACAATGTTATATTCACAATAGACAAGTGTGGATAGCTTTAGATCATTAAAATGAAGTAGCCAATGAAAGTTACACTGTTTTAAACAACACTAATGCATTAAATGAACGGAAAATATTGCAATTTTACTAAACACTGAAAAAAGGTTGATCATCTCCATAGCAACACTTTGAGGTTATTTTATTGCGAAGCAATAGTCTAAAGATATTCTGAATTCCATGTCACGTGTTTCTCGTTATTTTAACTGGGAACATCACATGATTAATGAGTTTGAATACACTCTTTATGAATGTCTAGTGCACTTTTCGAATAGCTGACAGAATAGGAAGACGATTGTAGGTTATCGACAGACAATACATTAAGTTAATGTTATACAACTTGTAAGTATGCTTGTTCATTCACCAAGTGAATACAAGGTCGATTAAATGATAATGGGTTGATTTAATGAAATAATAATTCATCAATGAAAAGTTGACAAAATTCAAGAAATCTATTCATTACATAAAATATTTATTTAAGATTCTACTTTCGCATAAACCCCCCAAATGCCCTGATACGGCTGAGGGTGGGGACAGTCCACTCTACCTCTCGAAATACTCTCACATAGTCATGTGCGTACAACCACTAACAGGGAAGTCCTACTCACTGACTCCTCGCGGGATTACTGTTGTTTACGAAACTGAAAGGACGGAAAGCGGATGTCCGTCGCTTTAATCGGGTTGGTGGACACAGGGAGTTCACTTAGAGGAGTTGGAAAACCCTGATTCCAAACTAATAGTGCACATGTGCTCCAGTATCCTGAAGGACCAAATGGCGTATGAACCTATTGTTGGTCATCGACTACAATGGGACAGCATCTCATTATGTTGCTCCATTGCCTTGTGGATTAGACCTTTCGGTCAAAGACTCCGGGTGTGGCCTCCTAAGGATATGCACCATATAAATCATTTGATTTGTGTGAGCGCTCGGATACTGTCCGAGTGCCCAAATCGAAGCGGATGATTTTCTTATGGGGTAGTGCACGAGCATACATTGGTGATATGACATATTTGACCTTTGTTCACTTTCTCCCAGTATGATGCTAGCCATCATTATGTATTGCAACTGACAGTGGATTAAAATATATCTAATCTATTTCAATCAATGATGGTTCTGACCGTCATAAACATTACTCACTTGGTAGTTTCATCATATATGATACTGGTTTTTAGGCACTATTAATTATAAACTTCCAACCTATGTATATCGTAAGATGGTGATTGGAGATAGTTAACAGGAGACTGTGGACCTAGGTTTCATGTTATTTGGCACTCATCAGCATGATGTACCTGTAATCTTGGCATTCTATTTGCATTAAGAAGGACCTGACACAAATGACATTGATCACTATCCAGTGATCAATCAATTGTAGATGTATATCATCTTCTAGTGAGACATGAAATAGATCTATCCATCTTTGAATGTTATTGTTTTACACATTTAAATTCACTTACATTTAAAGGATAGTCTATCATATTCAACTTAACCCAACAGAAATATATCAGTCTGTCAAAAAAAGAAGTTTCATACTTAACAGACTATTATTTGTGTATATCGTCTAGTGTTATTTTCTTGAATGTTTGCTTGTTTATTTGCCTATCCATTGACCTAGATTGATGATTCAACTTAGTTAAACTAGAATTTAAAAGACAGCTTAATGGTTTCAGGCGCAAAAATATTCGGATGGTTGACTCTATTTCTTTTCTTTTATTGTCTTTCAGTAATCTGTATAGTATTAGTATTAGTATTAGTAGTAGTAGTAGTAGTAGTAGTAGTAGTAGTAGTAGTAGTAGTAGTAGTAGTAGTAGTAGAAGTAGTCATTTCCCCCTTTATTAAATGATTATGAAAGAAAGTATAAATATAATGAAGAGGGGGGAAAAAGTGAGTAAGATAATTTTCTAGGTTATTTGTTTCTACATAAAACTCAGTTACTTTTGGTTTCTTTGTTTTTATGAATGAAGGGGGGAATTATTATATGTGTATATCCATTCAAATAGTGATGAGTCATGACTGAAAAGGAATGAACCTAATAGTCAAATTCGTTTATACCTATTTCAATGTTCAATAGTTATGCAATTAAAACAAAAAATACAAGAGAGAAATTGTGTTTATGAGTATTAATATGAATTCTAGATAATGGAGAAATGGTTTCCCTCTTTTTTATTTTATTTTCATGCTTTGTTCGATTATAAAATGAGTTGTCTTTGTGACGTGGCAATATCTAATGTAGACTGGGAAAATGAAAGAAATTCTTTTAGATTATTCTTATGGAATTATTAGTTAAGTAAAGAACTATTGTTTAATAATTCATGAATTCATGAGTCTCAATTGAAGCTAGACCATCGTGGAAAAGATGGAAACAGTGGATGGCCGTTTCGTCCAACTGTGGGACTCTTCAGTAGTGCGCATCCATGATTCCACCTCGTGAGATTCCAACTCAGGACCTGTAAGTCTCGTGAGCGAATGCTTACCCTGTAGACCACTGAGCCGACCGGCATTCAATGGCGTTAATGTTTAACTTCAACTTATCACCGAAATTGGGCGACACATTCACCGCTGTCATCAGTGAGTTACTATCTCACAACAGAACTGGTTGAACTCCACTGGTCACTACTTCTCACCAGAACTCCAGGAAATGCCTCTTGAAGTCAGTCACTAGTGAGCAGATGATTATTATCAGAAGGGGTTTTGTGAAGATTTTAGTAATTTCAATAGTTGAAATCATGAATCATTTGGAGCTAGACTACCATAGAAAATCTGGAAGCATTGGACGGCCGTTTCATCTTAGTATGGGACTCTTCAGCAGTGCGCTTATTATTTATTTATTTATTTTATGCTGTTAGATTCTTTTCTTGTTTTTTGGACGCACGACTAGAGAAATGAGTCAACGAGTTAGTAAATACTTCCCTTTGTGGTTAGGAAAGGCTACCGTCAAAACAATGCATAGCTTTACAAGTGATTAATCACTGAGTGGTGATCAATGTCATATGTATCAGGTCCTTCTTAGTGCAGATTGAATTCTATCGACCACACAGCTTTGTTCGATCACACTTGATCGATAGCAGTCATATAATAGATAGGAATAGATTATTTAAATTACATTTATATTATTCCTACTAATTTCCCTTACGGGGTTCGATCTCGTCTTTTACATAGAACAGAAGCTATAGTAATTCGAACTAATAATCCAAGTCTTTATCTTCATTAGAAATTGGTTCCATCTTTATGTTTTTCTTGCCTATATTAACCTGAATAAAAGATTTTATTTATTATTATTTTCTATATTCTTTGTTCTATGTCCTTATATGCAATCTTTCTTTTATATATCACTACCATTGAATTAACTACTTCCGTGTTCATCTTGTTGTACTAATTAGGTATGGCAATTAGGATTGATGCCCATATGTGCCTGGTCCTATGTTATAGTAGTCCGGATACTCTTTGTTCGTTTATTTTTCTTCACTCCCTCTTTTTCGTCTTTCAAATATACGCTTCACTGTTCAATGATTTGAGTCCTTCTTATTACATAATCTTATAGTTTTTATGAATGTTATTTCAGTATTTATATATTGTTCAAGTTATTGACGTATTTCCCATTGTGAAATATGAATTCAAGCCTTCGTTATTCTTATCACAGCTACTACATCTATCATAATACTATCAATTTGTAATTTTTACATATTTTGCTTATTTATTCCACTGTAATCACTGACTCATATACTAGCTTGATTGGTATAGTAATTTCATAATATGCATATAAATATTATTGCATAGTAAAGGGGATAGTCAGTATTTAGAGAAGGAAGTAGTCGAACGCGTTGACAACTTCCCTTATCTTGGAAGTCTGATCAGCTCTAATGGGTTGGTGTCTGACGAAATCTCTGAACAGATTCAGAAACTTCGTTTGGCTTGTGCCAACTTACGTCACCAATGATGAAGGCAGGATATTCGTGTACCAACTAAAGGACGGGTTTACTGTGCAGCAGTTCGTTTGGTCCTACATTATGGCTGTGAAACATGGCCGGTAAGAGTAGAGGATATTCGTAGGTTACTAGTATTCGATCATAAGTGTCTTCGAAGCATTGCTCATACATCCTTGGACCACGAGTAACTAATGCAGTTGTTAGGAAATGAGTACTAGGTAAGGATGGCACATCAATTGAAACGTAGTCAGTTGAGATGACTGGGACATGTGTTACGTATGCCCAACCACCGACTGCCCCGACGTGCGATGTTCAGTGGTGTAGGAGTAGGTTAGAAGAAAGCTAGGGTTGGCCTGACCAAAACATGGCATAAATCCATGAAGTCATTGTTAAGGTGATTGAGACATGTTGATAGGTGTAGGCTACTTGTTTGGGATCCGAGAGACGACAGCAACAGATTGTTAGAGATGTTGAATGACATGGCTCAAAATCGTTTGCAATGGCACAGGTGCATCCACTATTTGTGTCCTCCCAAATTTTAGTCTTCTGAATTCTTCATGTCCCTTTATTTTCTCTCTTTCCAAATTTGTTTCACTGAATTATACTCCTTGAATAACACCTTCAAACCCTAATGTTCCCAATTACTACTTCTACTTCTACTACCTCTACCACTTTGAGATTTGAATGGACAATTGTATTTGTGTGCTAATGTGGTATATCAACTTGAACTGATGTAGGTACATAAGTACGAAGTTCTACGTTGTTGTTGACCGACTGACTAACTTGAAGATATCACCTAAAATTTTACAATTTGCTATAACTATTTCAGTTTTATTTAAAACACTTAACTATGCCATTGTACTATTCAATCACTGAGTTGGAGTTTAGTAAGTCACATTTCCCGATTTTAATTGATTTTTAATATATCAGCCTTTCTCAGTTCTATCTTATAGATGAGTTATTAGTATTATAATTAGTAAAGGCATTACAGTTAATGACTTAAGTAACTTAGCTTTTCTTTCTCTAGTTAGTAGTATTATTATAAATACTTGGAACTGAAGTGATTTCAAATATCCTGTTGTTATCATTTTGACTGAAATTTGATCTGTCTCGATTGACATATGTGCAGTTTGTACGAATTGTCTGAGATGGTGGAAAATATTTGTAGCTCAGGTGGATAATTTTGATGGAGTTTTGTTCTCTGAACTGGATGGTTTGGTCGTGGAGCTTTCATTGTTCTTCTGAACGACATCATCAGCACAAACGTCAGGTAGAAGTTATAGATAGAGAACTGGATTGAATTATCCAATTGTTATCATTTTGACTGAAATTTGATTTGTATCGGTTGATATATGTGCAGCTTGTACGAATTGTCTTGATATTATCATTATGATACAAGTTAATTTAGAATAGATGGAATGCAGCTAGCAGTGGAATCCACGACTCTCGTTTCATTTCTTCTAGATGCTAGTCATTTGGATTTCCCTGTATCCCATAGTTGATATTCACTTTTGGATTATTTGTAATCAATAACTGCTGAGTGGATAATATGATGTTGTTTGTAGTGAACGAACTCTGTTCTAGTGGTGGAGTGGATGTCAATTTCTAGAATGCAGGTACATTCAACTGACGAATTACAAATATGACAATAGACGAGTCTTAGAATCCATTGCATGCCACATTCTATTTATTCAACATTCCAGTTACTGTTTTAATTATATACATTCTGTAAAAATGCATTACTTTATTTACTAGGTCAAAGTCATTATCTGCATAAATCAAGAATATAATAATCGTAATCATAATCATAATAATCAAGGTTTAGCGATAACGGCCACAACAGCATTGAATACAATTGGGAGTTTATTATCATCAAATAATCCTTTAAATACTATACATTTAAAAGTGAACAAAAATACTTGTGATTTTTCATCGAATTCATCTTCATCAAGTTGTATTCAAATTGATGAGAATAAAAGAATTATTACATTGTTAGATCCTACACCATCACGTCGTAGACGAGGAATTGGTGGCGTCGTAAGAAATTATAAATTTGATAATATTGTAACACAGGATACATTGAAAGTATGTTATTGTTTGTGTGTTAACTTTATATGTAATGTATTTTCTGTGTACATTTAGAATCCATTTGGATAATGTTTAGATGTGATTAGAGATAGTTGACAAGAAACCATAGACTCAGGTTTCGTGCTATTTTGGGTTTGTCAACATGATTTATCTGGAATGTTGAGGAAATTGATGATCGGATTCAAGTATGCTTCGTTCAACTTTACATTTTAAAGAATTTATCACTGCTATATTCGAGTAACGAATGACTTCCTGTAAGACTGAGGTATTTACAGTTGATGCAGTAGTGATTAGCGACTAATATGATGTTTATTTTGGCTTTTCATACTGATTAGATTCTATCGATTAAATTGGATTGTGAACATCAATCTAAGTAACTCAATATCTTGTACACCATGTTTGGATATAAGTTGGTGACTAGAAGGATTTAACATAAAGCTCTGTTTGACCAAGCTTCTATGAAATTTAAAACTCTTTATTATGGTATATTTGGAAGGAGTGTACGCTTCTTGTAAGATTCGAACCCATATCATTCATAGTGACAGTGAGTAAAACTGTCAACAGATATTAACAGTCGTAGCTTCTCACTAGTTGTCTCCAACCAATCAATAATGAATATGTGTAGAATTATACGCAGAACCATGTCATGAGTCTTTAACAGTCCAAATCGATAGTAGTACGGAGCAAGAAAGAGAAACAGTAGGGAAAACGATAAGATTACAAACAGAAAAGAGGAAAGATATGTGAGCATAAGAAATGTATACTTCGAAGAGAATTAATAAAATCGACTAATGGAAAGTGTAATGAGAAGATATAGGATTATGTTCAATGTTTCAATAAGTACTCAATTTTTTTGTTTTTAGCATGTCACTTTGCTTTGGTTAGTTGTCAATATGTAAACTATGGTGTTTAATTGAAACATTCGTAAACATTAGTTCAAGTTATAGATAACTTAATACTTGAGGTCATGAGTCAATTAAAGCTAAACCACCATGGAAAACCTGGAAGCACTTGGAAACCGTTTCGTCTTAGTGTAAGACTCTTCAGTAGTGAGTATCCACGATCCTGCCCCGCGGGATTCGAACCCAGGTTCTATCGGTCTCGCGTGCGAATGCTTAACCTGTAAACAATCGAGTTGACATCCAGAAGGTATTAATGTCTGACTTCAACCAATCCACATTTAATATACTTTCAAAGTTTTCGTTTCTTGTTTTTTTTTTCAAACAAATAAATATACGATCTGTAGCGAGAATTTTATACTATGGTTCTCAATGATGCTTTATCTGCTGTGTTGAATGGAAAAGATAGTTGTATACTAACTATTGGACATAAAGCTACTGGTAAGTTGGTCTGTGTTTTTCTCATTAACTGAATTAACCACTTCTATGAATCCGGTGTTCATCTTGTTGTGCTTATGAGGTATGGCAACTTGGACCGATGAACATATGTAATTTATGTTTGAATGTTAGATGAATGGGAGTAATCGGTAGAAATTTCTATATGACAGAACTAATGGTTCCCGTGGGATTTGAAACCTAAAGTACCAGTGCTCTCAAGGCTAGGGATCAACATTTCTGATTAGTGTCAGCTTACATGAGACTAGGTCTAGCATAACCTGCTATCAGTTATCTTCAATCACCCACAAATGTGATTATTGGTATCATTCGGTCTTAAATATTGAAATATGTGGTTCACTAGCATTAAAAGCAGTCGAATCCAGGACACACCTTTCGTCCCATTCGGGATTCGTCAGCTGCATGTAAATGCACCTCAGAGTTGATTTTCACTCTGGGACTCGAACCCAGTACCGTTCGCTTCAAACGTCATTGCGTATTGCACAAATATCAATAAGAGGTTGACCATTTCAGTCTTAACATCAATGGGAATATTCAAATAAAACAATACCAAGTGAATTTATGTGGTTCATGAATCTTAAATTGAATGCTTCTTGTTATGATAAATCAATCCTACTGAATAAATGTCAATCAATTGTTAATTCTTCGTTCATTTTTCAGTGCGAAACAATCATTTCGTTTCTCTTTTTCCCTCTCTCTCTCTTACACACATACACACCTCATTTAACGTGGATTTAACTGCTTTTTTTTGTCGATATGATAAACATTTAGGATAATACTTGTTTAAATGCTAGTCAGTAATTGAGGACCAACTGATTTCCATATCCTATGATAGTTCATTTAATAATTGAATTCATGAGTCAATTGAAGCTAGACAACCATGGAAAACCTGGAAGTACTGGATGGCCGTTTCATCCTAGTATGGGACTCCTCAGAAGTGTGCATCTACGATCCTGCCTCACGAGATTCGAACCTAGGACCTATCGGTCACGCACACAAACGCTTAACCTTTGGACCACTGAACCGGCCGGCATTCAACGGTGTTAATGTTTTACTTCAACCAACCAACGAATTTATTTAAACACATAAACATCGGTACAAGGAGGCACCGAATGCAGATGTGCCACACAAATCATTGTATCTGTATGAAAGCTGGTTTATTGCTTGGGTGCCTAAGCCGAAGCAGGTGGTTTCCTTAAGAGGCTACTCTCCGAACCTTTGACCTAGAGGTCTAATCCATAAGGCAATGGAGCGATGTTAGAAGATGCAGTCCCATGACAACCGGTGAATAACAATAGGTTCATACGTTATTTATTCAATGACTAAGTGTCCACAGTATTTATTGTATATATGTATATATTTGTTCCATATTCAGGTAAAACACACTCAATGATTGGTTATGATTACTCACCAATGGAATGTGGTATTATTCCATGTGGAATAAGTTGGTTATATCAATTATTAAATTATCAAAAACAATGGTATAATACACGATTTTCTATAAGAATATCAGCTGTTGAAATTACTGGATTAAATGAAGAATTTCGTGATTTATTAGCAAATACAAAAGCATCATGTGAGTGTAATTGGATTATTATTATTATTGTTATTATTATTATTATTATTATTATTATTATTATTATTGTGAACTGATATCAGTAGAAGGCTGCTAGGGTTGAAGCTATTACGAGTTCACTGAATCTACGAACGAGACACAAGACTCGGTGACCAAAGACCAGTAAGCTAGCTATTGATGCGTCCCAGACCCGCTAACTAGAGGGAGAAGTCCAAGCTTGAAATGGGGAAATATATTCTGCAAACAGCCAAAAACGAGCGGTAACAACAAACACAATTCAAACATATATATACAGTACAAAACCGTCCTTGGGGAGAATTACCAAATAGCATACTAAAAGACACAACGGACCAATAGCATTTAAGATATTTCCCAGTGGGAAATACGACATGAAGGTGACAAGAGCGCCTTTGGCACGAAAACAAAGATATTCAAATTTTCTAAATAAAATTACAAAATTAGGTCCTTTCCCAAGTGAGTTCTGGGGATCTAACGTCCCCAACAAAGGCACTGTCCTCTGTATCGTCTGCATGATATTTCGATAGCTGTTGTCAAGATTTCCAAATGTTCTGACATGAGTATCCTTTGTAGTTTCATCTTTTGGTCCTCTATGACTTGTTGGTATATGCGTATCCCGTAATGTGCATCAGTTATCATTAGGTGTATCATTTTTCTTCCACTTTACTTAGCTATTCTTTATCCCATTGAGTAGTTTATTGGAGGTCTGCAGTTTGCACTTGCTGTTAGAACATGCTGACGAAGACATTCGTAGGAGCATCATCTCAAAGTTGAAACGTATTTATTATTAGTTTAGATAAGGTAAAACTATGACATAAACGTGGGCCAATCAATACTTAGGCAATTTTTTCCTTTTGTTCGAAATTCACTTAATTGACTATCAACTTAGATCTTTAGAGAAATTACTAATGATCATTTCAAGGCAGAAAATACAGACTAGTGGTTATAGTGAAACTTAGTTACTAGGATTCAGATAATGTTCAGCACTTGATAAGCATGTTATCTGTTATCATCTCATTACAGATAAAATCTTATATCAATTGTAATTATCATTCATTTCAGATGATGAAGAATATTCTGATAAATCACCAAGTCATTATTTACAAACAACAAATAGACCAATGCAACAGAAGAATTCAACTTCTTCTTCATCATCATCATCATCATCATCATTCATGAATAAAATTAGTCTGGGAACAAATTATGAAAAGGCACAAACAATTTCTGCTCATATGATTGATAAATTATCACATCTATGTGAATTACGTGCATCAACAGCTGAAAAAGCCGCTTATCTACTTGATACAGCATTATCAAATCGTACAGTACATAATTGTAATCATTTATCCGGTCTATCACATATGTTATTTACATTACATTTATATCAATGTAAATTAGAGAATAACAGCAGTGAAATGAGTAGTAAGTTAATATTTATGTTTATGATTACTTTTGATGGTTGGCAGTAGATGTCGGCTTAGGCTTCAGTGTGAATATTAACACTAAGATACATCGTACAACATCAGATGAAACGAGGGATTTTGAATTTCTTTGCTAGCCACTAACGAAATTACCGTTTATTTTTTGTTTAATATTTTTGCTTACTATTAAGTAGTTTAATTTTTATAACAAAAATATGGAGAACTTCAAGAGTTTTGCTTCAGGATAGGATTGTTCGCATCTTTTTGTTTTATAAGTGTATGTAGAGTTACAGTGTACTATTTGTAGGATGAGGCATAGTATATATATATAATCTTCAGTATAGGGTTATGGAAACTGTTGAGTTTTTGATTGATCATGAATCGATCAGTGTTAGACGACCATTGAAAACCTGGAAGCATTGGACGGCCGTCTCGTACACAACATATTTTGTGTCTGTATTTTAACTGTATTAACAATTATTTCCGGAATAATCAGTTGCTAATTTATCGCGTAGACACAGACAACTACTTTCTGTTTCATGGAAAATTTTAAAAATATATGGATTTCTGAACAATACGAACGGATGTGTACATTCTTGAGATGACCTTGACTTCTTTCAAATTTAAAATGTCGTCTTTAACCGTTGTATGCCTAATCTAACCATTACGAAGTCTGATTTAATCAAGCCCTTGGCTCACTTTACATATCTTGGACATGTGTTACGTATGCCCAACGACCGACTGCCTCGAAGTGCGATGTTCAGTGGTATAGGAGTAGGTTGGAAGAAAGCTAGGGGCGGCCAGACCAAAACATGGCACAATTCCATGAAGTCACTGACAATTGGTCTGAGTCATGTTGGTAGGTGTAGACTACCTGGTTGGGGACCGCGAGATGATAGCAACCGATGGTTAGAGACCCTGAATGACATGGCTCAAAATCGTTTGCAATGGCGCAGGTGCATCTACTCTTTGTGTTCTCCCAAATTTTGATCTCCTTATTCCTCCTTGTCTCTTTTCTTTCTCCTCTCAAATTTATTTCACTGTATTATACTCTTTAAATAACATCTCCAAACACTAATCTTCCCGATTACTGCTTATACTCTTATTACCTCTACTACTACTACGGGATTTGAATCGACCACTACACCTCTATGCTAATGTGGTGTGGCAATTCGAACTGATGTACGTGCGTACGAAGTTCTTCGTTGTTACTGACTGACTGACTGAAGATTTTGGAAGTCAGGATAAAGCCCACCTGGCTTTTGTCAGTATGTAATAAGTATTTCTATTTGTCATTATATCATGATAATCGTGTTTAGATTAGACAAATAACAAACAAACTTAATTTACAATACATTTCTTATTCATTATGTATAATATATGTTATTTCTATTGATCAACTAGTTTCCGGTGGTAGAACGAAATTTCATTTCCTTGATTTGGGTTGTGGAAGATATGGACAACATTCAATTCATGTAAACAAATGTGTTGAAGCAGAAAATAATTCAAATTTCAATAATCATTCAAAATTCAATAAAAATGAAAACACTAACAATACTACTAATTCCCATTCTCCTACTTCTAGTGATAGTAATAATGTTTCGAAATTTTCAACTTCAGAAGATTCACTGTCCAATTGTACAACTAACCTTAATCAAGAATTAAAGTCTATAGAATATAGAACACTTTCAAAAGCTCTTTCTTTATCTGGTATTGGTAGTGTTTTATTAGCTTTATTAACTGGTCGACGACAATTACCATATCATGATTCTTCACTTACTTATTTATTACGTGAAGCAATAACTGGCAATCAAATTCAACCATGTATCTTAGCTCATATATCTGAAAATGTACAATATTATACAGAAACATTACAGGTTAGTTGTATTGATTAATTATAAGTATGTAAATGTTCAAGAGATTATTTAATTATGAACATTAAAATTATATAACATCTCTCTGGGATGAGTATACTGCGTGGTAGTTCGTTCTTTTCTACTTCACAGCTGCAAAACGTGGCCATTAAGGGTAGAAGATACTCATAAGCTACTAGTATTTGATCACAGATGTCTTAGAAATATTGCTCGCATGTGATGGGATCAGCGAGTAAGTAATGGTGGGGTTAGACATAGGGTATTAGGTAATGATGGTAAATCAGTGGATGAGGTTGAGAATCTTCATCGACTGAGATGGTTGAGTCACGTGTTATGTATGCCTGAACACTGTTTACCACGACGCACAATGCTGACTAGTGTTGGGGATGTTTGGAAGAAAGTTAGAAATGACCAAACTAAAACGTGGCATCAGTCGTTGAAGTCACCAACCTCTAGTCTGAGGCATGTTGGTAGATGCAGACTACTTGGTTGGGGTCCGTGTGGTTATCTTGACGATTAGTAGTTGGAGACTGTGGGTGACATGGCTCAGAAACGATTACGATGACGTAGGTGTATATACTCTCTGTCTTCCCTTAAACTAAGAGATTAAAATTGCTTTATATCTTTCGTTCTAGGAACTAATTCTTTCTTCCTGTACTATATCCTTATACACAATCTTTCTTTTATACATTACCCCACTGAATTAACTACTTCTATGAATTTGGTGTTCATCGTGTTGTGCTAATGAGGTATGGCAATTTGGATCGATGCATATATGTGCCTGGTCTTACGTTGTAGCTGACTGACTGAACATCTCTGGTTGTAATAAACTCCTTATACAGTAATTCACCCATAGCATTAGGTTTCACTCTGTTATGCTTGTGCGAAAACAGTTCAGTTGCACGAAAGTGGTAGACAGGATTTTTCTTTAGATGTCTATAACTATACAATCGTGTGACAGTATTGGTGGAAGGGAGGAAGAGAGTGTGGAATTTCGGTATATTTTACTATCCAATATTTAAGATCTAAGATTTTTTTTCATATGTCAGTTCATCTAGTGGGTGAGTACTGCCTGTTGGAGAGTAATTATCACTAAACATTTCAAATCAAACATCAGAAGTTATATGAAACTCTGTTCTGAATAGGGTAGGGTACCAGACATACTGGGTCAAAAACACAAAAAGATGAAATTTAGGTCTTGAAATAAAATCTTTTGTGCAAATACATTGTAATATGCGACACATAGCCATCAATTGGATAGGGAAATAACCAAAAATGCTGGGTACTATACATTTATTAAGCATTATAAAGTGGCCCTCAAATGCTCTGATACGGCAGATGGTGGACAGAGTCTGCACTCTCCCTCGAAATACTCTCACATGGCCACGTGCATATAAACACTGACATGGGAGTCCTACTCACTACCTTCTCGTGTTATTGCTGTTGTTTACGAAATTGAGAGGATGAAGAGCGAATGTCCGTCGCTTTAACCGGGTTGTTGGACAGGGACAGTTCATCGAGGGGAGTTGGAAAACCCTGATTTCAAACCATTGATGAACATGAGCTCTAGGATGTTTAAGGAACAATTGGCGTATGAACCCATCGTTGGTCACCAGTTGCCATGTGACAGTATCTCCTGATGTTGTTCCACTACCTTGTGGATCAGACCTTTAGGTCAAAGGCTCCAGGTCTGGCTGCCTAAGAAATCCAACTTCTTCAGTTTAGACACCCGGGCAGTATTATAACGCACACACAAACCAAGTGACTTGTGTGGCGCACATGTATTCAGTGCCCCTTTGTACCATTATGTATGTGTTCAAATAATAAGAAATAAAAAACTAGGATAATCCTATATATATATTCTATATGTTTCCTTTATTTTTCTGTTACAGGTTATACAACTTGCTACGGAAATTAATCGTCTTAGACGTCGTAAAATTGTTATCAATCATATTGGTACATTAACTAAAGATCATGAACTATCATTACCATTATCATTGAATGCTAGTAAAAGTCAAGAAGAAATTGGTTCATCAACATCAAACGATACAGATACTGATTTTCTACGTGTAAATCAATCAAAACATCTACATAGACGACCAAGACTTGGTCGATTATCATATGCTAGATCATTAGGATCATGTAGTTCTGAATTAGATTGTACATCAAGTGGTGAACAATCCTGTGATACAGTAATTTATGTTGGAAATAATAAATTATTACAAGGTGAACGTCGTCTAAGTGATAGTCGTATTACATCATATTCTATTAAAAAACTAGGTCCAAGAGGATTAGCTGATGGAAGTATAGATATAATGGATAAAACACACAGTTGTAGAGGATCATCAGAATTAATAGCTTTGAATGATGAAACACTTAAGCAACATTCAATGGATCAGGTAAGATCAATAGTTCAATCTATTACGTAATGAAAAAACAGTTAATAAACTGATTTACTTAGTTAAGAAAACAAACGAATGAATTCTTGTAATTTGCTTTGAGAGGTATTTCCTGGAGTTCTAGTGAGAATTACCGACCAGTGGAGTTCGACCATGTCTGTTGTGAGATAGTAACTCATTGATGACAATGATGGATGTGTTGCTCAATTTCGTGGATTTGTTGAAGTTAAACATTAACATCGTTGAATGCCGGTCGGCTCAGTGATCTACAGGTTAAGCATTCGCTCACGAGACTTACAGGTCCTGAGTTGGAATCTCGCGAGGTGGGATCACGGATGTGCACTTCTGAGGAGTTTGACAGTTGGACGAAACGGCCATCCAGTGCTTCCATGTTTTCCATGATGGTCTCAATCATTGAAATTATTACAATATGCACAAAAACCCTTCCGACATAAATATTTGTTATTTTTTGGTTGTGTGAATGAAAGTTGAGGAAAAGTCTTATGTTAAAAAAACGTGAGTTCTAGAATTCGATTAGATACACAGACTAACACAAACACACATACATACTTACATACATACAAATGTAAAAACAATACACCAATATGGCAACATGTTTATATGTAGTTAGATATACAGAGTCAACTTGTCTCAGAATATAATAGGTTACTAGTATTATTATTATTCCAATTTTCTTCAATGTTTACAGTGAGATTATAATTTATGGACGACCTATGAGTGACGCCAAAGTGACCTTGAGATTGTCTACCTAATTACTAAGGCAAAATGAGGGTTGTAAAACAGTTTGAAGAATAAGAATTATGAATCACAACCGATGATTAGGATTAGGAATTAGATTTACAATTTTTCATCACAAACTGATAACAGCTAAAATGCCAAGATACTATTTGGTCAAATGAGTAAATGAATTTCGCGCTAAAATCCAAGACCTGTTATCTTAAATCTGATTGGTCCATTCATAGACCATAATTTCGCCATGTTTACTAATCATAATGGTTGATAACAGGTTACATCGTTCATTTATTATCTATAACAAACAAACAAACAAACAAATGATACACACGTTTAAACATGCCATAGGTCAATCACATAAATATATAACTTGAATATTGAATATTCAACTTTCATTTTAAAGAATTCCCGCTGTGTTCAAAATAAATAAAGTTAATGATTAAAAGAATAGAAAAAAAATCATCCATACAGTTACTAAGTTAAATCAACAATAAGTAGCCCATTATTATTATTATTATTGTTATGCAAATGAGTAAAAGCATGTGGTTTGGTTTATTGATTGTTGATGATATCACTACTTTGAATACTATTCAATTCACTTGGTATTTTAAGCAAAGATGGATAGTTGCTAACAGTGAAATTTAGGACATGCGTTTCGTCCTATTTTTGGGACTCATTGGCTGGATGTACCTGTATCCTAGATATATTGATGTTCACTGTGGAACTTGAACGCAGTACAATTTGTTTTAAACACTATCATGTTATCCACTTAGCAACTGAGTCCTGATAGCTACCTGCTTGTGTAATGGAGTGAAGGGTTAAATTCACTTGATGTTGCCTACTTGTATCTTCCGATTGTTGTTTAGGTCTACAACTGATCAGTCTCTTGTTGGCATATATGTATCGTGTGCGGATTGCCTCGATATTATCTTAAGTCATAAGCTTTATAAGTAATCCGTTGTTTTCACATAACTACTAATAACCATAGTGTACGTTTCTTTATAATTTTATGATAATATTGAACAGATCTAAGGTGATAGCTTAACACAGCATTGAGCTTACTTTTTACACTTGAAATTTATACATTAAATCTTGTATTGTCAGTCAGTCAATCAGATACAACGTAGGATCAGGCATATATATGCATCGGTCCAAGTTGCCATACCTCATTAACACAACAAGATGGACACCGGATTCATTAAATTAGTTAATTCAGAGGTGGAAATATATAAAAGAAAAATTGCAATAAGGATATAATACAGGAAGAAATAATTAGCTTGTAGACAGAAAGATATGAAGCGATTTTAATCTCTTAGTTTAAGGGAAAACGGAGTGTATACACCGACACCATTGTGGTCGATTCTGAGCCATTTCACCAAGAGTATTGGTTATGAATCTATTCTACTCAAAAGTTCCATACAAAGGCTATCTTAAACATGTATACAATAGTGACTAATTTCAAGAGGTAATTCCAAGCGCTCTAGTAAGAAATTGTGAATAGTGGATTTGAGCCAATATCGAGTGAAAACCACTTATTCACTGATAGGTTTGAATGAATGTGATCATAACTGAAGTTAAAAATTTAAACCAGCTTACGGAAGCTTAATGATCTGAGAATTAAGAGATAATCATAAAATTTTGGGGTTCCAAGTTGGGTCACTTACAGTACAATATGAATACATAAACTATTCGTATATTTCACAAGAATTGACAGATTTGTAAAAAAAAATATTGGACATATATTATAGTTTTTCAATTCTAATATAGTTGAAATCACTGATCAAGATCAGTTAACGGATCATTGAGAATGATAAAGAACTAGTTACGTACTTACTTACGCCTGTTACTCCTCGTGGAGGAGCATAGGCCGCCCATCAGCATTCTCTATCCAACTCAGTCCTAAACAATCCTTTCCAGTTTTTTCCAGTTCTTATTCATACTTTTCATATCTCCTTCCATTTACCCACGTAATGTGTTCTCTGACCATCCACTTTTCCCATTCCCTTCACAATTCCAATTTAGAACTTGCCTCGTGATGCACTCTGATGATTTCCTCAATGTATGTCCTATCCATTTCCATCTTCTTTTCCTAATTTCCTCTTCAGATGGAAGCTGGTTTGTTCTTTCACACAGTAGGCTGTTGTTGCTGATCGTATCCGGCCAATGGATGTTAAGTATCTTGCATAGACAACTCTTTATAAATTCTTGTACCTTCTTTATGATGGATGTATTAGTTCTTCAAGTTTCAGCACCGTATAATAGAACTGTTTTGATTATTCGTATTGAAGATTGTGTCTTTGATATTGGTCGATATGCAGTTGTTTTGAGTTCCATATATTCTTCAGTGGTAGGAATGCAGCTCTTACTTTGTCGATCCGATAAACCACTAGACGTATATTTTATTATCATAATAAAATTTCTTAGTTATAAAATGAACTCGGTCATAAGTAATGTAGAACCTTGAACATAAGTATATCGGTTCACCTTACCGTGTCTCATTAGTACAGCGAGATGAAATTGTCAGGGTGAATCCTAGAGTGGTGGAGGTATTAAGAGTCGTGAGTGGTAATAAGAAAGATTAGTGATCAAAAATACCATTTGGAAAAATATAGATCAGTAGAATAGTGGAAAAAAGAGTTTATGATAAGCTCAGCAACTTAGGATCTAAGAGAAGATAAAGAGTAAATTCACCTACTCCATTACGAATGACTTTGGATCATGTCACCCAAAATCTTTGAACATTGGTTGCAGTAATCATATGGAACCCAACAAGATAATCTTCACTTACCTACATGGATCAGCTATTGTCTTCATGTATCTATACAATAAAGCTCCCAAATGCCCTGGTATGGCCGAGGGTAGGAAGAGCCGCGCTATCTCTCGAAATACTCTTACATGGCCACACGTATACAGTTACTGTCAGGGAAGTCCTACTCATTGACTTCTCGCGACTGGGTTGTTGTTTACGAAATCATATAACACTTGAATTCATGTCACAATGTAAATCTCCAGAATAAACTCATTACTTCTCATACCTTTTTTTATATCTAAACAGAATCAACATACTGAATTCCCAAATATGAATAATTTAATAACAATTAAACGAATGATTCCTAGAACAAATGCAACTGTATGGCCTCGTATTATGAATAGAACAAAATCTAGAAAATTTTTACAATCTTTAACAACAGCAACCACAACATCATCATCATCATCACCAACTTCAATGAAAATATCAGAAATGATAACGAATAATAATAGAATTGAAGAAACTTGGATTGATGGTCCAAATGTATCATTATCATTATTGATTAAACAAAGAAATGATATTGTAAATTTATCAAATTATAAAGATAATTCATTTATGAGTGAAATGAATAATTCTTCAAATGGATCATTGTTATTATCACAACCGTCTTTGCCGTTACCGCCGACACCGACACCGACACCACCACCACCACCACCACCATCCTATCATAATGTTGTACATAATTTGATTAAAGATCATATTAAAACATCATTTCTATCAAATACAGAGGAATTATGCGAACAAATGAAAGAGGAACCAGTATGTTAAATGATTTTTTAAAATAAATGTCAAAAGGGGTTTTGTGGATGTTGAGATTATGAGTCAATTGAAACCTTTTCTGATACTAATAAACATATAGTCATTAGTGAATGGCATCAAGAGGTATTTCCTGAAGTTCTAGTGTGAAGTAGTGACCAGTGGAGTGCAATCAGGTCTGTTGTGAGATAGTAACTCTTTGGAGACAATGGTGGATTAGTTGAAGTTAGACATTAACCCCGTTGGATGCTGGCCAGCTCAGTGATCTAGAGGTTAAGCGTTCGCGCACGAGACTTCTAGGTCCTATGTTCAAATGTCGCGAGGTGGGATCATGGATGCGCACTGATGAGGAGTCCTGTACTAGGACGAAACAACTGTCGAGTGATTTAAGATTTCTCATGGTGATCTAGCTTCAATTGACCTATGGTCTCAACCATTGAGATTTTTTTATTGTTAGTAATGTTTTACCCACAGAAAAAACGTTATTAGGGTATAGTTAGTAAACATTTTGATAAAATGAAGAGTCTTCTGGTTGCCATAAGTAAAAATGTAAACATGTTTTGGATGTGTTACTTATTGGTTGATATCATTGTCTGGATTGATCAAAGGGAGTGAAATATTTGAGTGAACTGATCAATTTATTTATCATGAAAGTTTCATCAGAGTTGATAGGATGCTGTCTGACGAAGTCCTAGAGCAGATTTAGAAAGTTTGCTCACTTTTTGTCGACTTGTGTAGGTAAGATATCTATCTAGGAACCAAGGTGGAGAGTATACTATACAGAGGCTGTTATCAACATATAGTATATACAATCTATATTTGGGTAAAAATCATTCAATCATATGTGGATCTCTCAACTTGGTACACTTGAATTATACTCATCCTAAATATATGATTGTAAAGCAGCAATTTAGGCTTCTTTTGTGTTATAGCAACTCTTCTACAATCAATTTCGGTTATGATTAAATTTTATTAAGCCCTTTTATTAACTTACTTAACAGACAACGTAATTCTAGTAGTAGCAACTCATCTATTTCATTGTACTATTATGATCACATGTGATAGCCTACGCATATATCTCTCTCTAGCTTAAATGTTAATCGCTTAAATATCGCCCGATAAATCCTCCTCTTTCTCATGTATATTTGTGCTCGAATCCTATCATTAGCTTTTGTCTTTCCTATCTAGACCTTGATTTGATTCAACCATAAATTCGCCTCTGTATTCGCTCGTACACAAACATTCACCTCTCTGCTTCAAATTCACTCCATGCGCTTTTAGATTTGTTACCCGTACTATCAGCTAACGAACTGTAATCGCCGCTTCTTATGGTCTTCTAATTTAAAACACCATTGAGATTTATGCATAATAACAGTTATCGAGGTGATCGGCTAACGAAGCAAATTCACTACAGAGTGTCATAAAAAGTTTGATAGCAGTTGAGTGATTAAATTTAACTATTAATAAGTTATGAGTAGCAGCCTTTGAATCAGTAGGCCTCAACATACACAAACGAAAAAAGCAAGGACCTCAAGTACAACATGGAGAACACCAACCCAATCACACTTGATGGCAAAACTCTGAAAGATGTGGAATCCTTCATGTACCTGGGAAGCATCATCGATGAACAAGGAGGATCAGATACAGACGGAAAGGCTATGATTGCAAAAGCAAGGACAGCATTCTTACTATTGAAGAATATATGGAACTCAAAACAACTGTCTATCGACCAATATCAAAGTCACAATCTTCAATACGAATAATCAAGACAGTTCTATTATACGGTGCTGAAACTTGAAGAACTAATACATCCATCATAAAGAAGGTACAAGTATTTATAACTAGCTGTCTACGCAGTACACTCAAAAGCCTACAGTGGGAGAGAACAAACCAGCTTCCATCTGAAGAGGAAATTAGGAAAAGAAGATGGAAATGGATAGGACATACATTGAGGAAATCATCAGAGTGCATCACGAGGCAAGTTCTAAATTGGAATTGTGAAGGGAATGGAAAAGTGGATGGTCAGAGAACACATTACGTGGGGAAATGGAAGAAGACATGAAACGTATGAATAAGAACTGGATAAAATTGGAAATGATTACCCTGGACGGGGTTGCGATAGTGTGTGCTAATGGGCGGCCTATGCTCCTGCACGAGGAGTAACAGGCGTAAGTAAGTAAGTAAGTTATGATTATCTGTGCTTACTTATGCTTAGGTGTATCTATCAAAACTTTTCTTAAAAAAATTTATTTATTTCAGATTATAAATTCAATTGAAGCACAAAATATACACACTACATCTATGGATAAATCAATCCAATATTTTAACACGACTTCTACTACTTCTACCACTACTACTACTACTACTACTGAAAATCATTTCAGTAGTAATTCAATGAATAGTTCATTTTCTACATTAGATAATAACCCAACTGATAATATACCAAGAGCATTATCTGATATATCTGAATGTACCGAAGATGCTGAAACAATTCATGAATCAAATTCAATAAAACAATCTATGATTAATTTATCATTAAAAGATGAATTATCAACTGATTTGTTAACAGCTAATTTATTGACATTTGATAATTTATATACAAGTTGTTGTCAATTATCAATAAGTAGTATGTTGAATGAAAAACAAAGTGAGATTATTATTATTAGTTAAAAAGTTTTATTTGATACTCTAGTTTGATTATTGAGATAGTGGAGAAGATTTGTAGCTCCGATGGATGATTTTGATGAAGTTCTGTTCACTGAGCTGAATGGTTTGATCATGGAGCTTTCATCATTCTTCTGTACGACATCATTAGCATAAACTAGAACTAATCAACATCGAGGTCTACAGGACAAACTGTGAACCGGATGTTGAGAGATTCAAACACTTCACTTCTACCCGAAGTTTGTGCTGTTGATGATGTCGTTTAGAAGAACGTTGAAAGCTTCATGACCAAATCATCCAGTTCAGAGAACAAAAACTTCATCATACGTTTAATTATTGAATAATCAGTAACCGATTTTATTATTTTTTCATGTTATCCTATTATAGTATTAGTCGGATGGTGTCAAATATATTGTAATGTATGATCAGTAAATTAAGTGACTTCATATCTATTTGATGGTATTCGGTTGAAAATAGTTAGGAGGGAGTGCTAAATTGTAGATATGCTCTACTAATGCTTTAAAACTAGTATATAATTTGAATTTAACGATGAGTACTGATAAAATAAACTCTCTTTCATATTTTTGCATTCTGGTTTGCTTGATTAAATGTTTTCAAATACCTTGGTATGGTCGAGTGTGAGGAGAGTCAGCTCTCCCTCTCCAAGTGGTTACATGCATACAAACACTGACAGGGAAGTCCTACTCACTGACTTCTCGCGGCATTACTGTTGTTTACAAAATTAAGAGGACGAAGAGTGAATGTCTGGCACTTTATCCGAGTTGATGGACACGAAGGTTTTACCTAAGGGAGTTGGAAAATCATGATTCCAAACCGATGGTGTACATGGGCTCCAGGATCCTGGGGAAACAAATGGTGTATGAATCAATCGTTAGTCAGGAGCTACCATGTGACTGCATCTCGTGACGTTGCTCTACTTCCTTGTGAACCAGACCTTTAGATCAAAGGCTGGAGGATGGCCCCATAAGAAAACCACCTATTTCGGCTTGGGCACCCGAGCAATATTCCAGCTCTCACATAAACCGAAGGATTTATGTGGTGTATATCTATTTGGTGCCTTCTTTTACCAATGTTTATGTGTTTAAATAAATAAATAAATAAGTTGGTTAAACATAGTAATTTTCAGTCGACTAAAAATTGATTAGAAAGTCAATATCGTAGTCGGCGAGACTATAATTTATTCACGAACCAATCAGGCTTAAGTTATCAGGTCTCTGATTTTGGCGTGGAATTCATTTACCTGATGTCAGTTCATGATGAAAACCCTATATCTAATTCCTAAGCCTAATCATCAACCGTAAATTATAATTTCAATTTCTCATACATGTTCATATCCCTCATTTAGTCTTGGCTAATAAGTGGATACTCTCAAGGTCAGTCTAGCATAGCTCGAAAGTCGTCCATCAATTATAGTCTCACCGAATTTTTTTTTGTGAAGACAACATCAGCCAAGATTTAAAGATAGATTCAATGAAATAATTTTGTTATAATTTCATAGCACTTGAAATCAAAAGAAGGTGTTAGACGTGTTAGCTTTTAATTGTTTAGTTTGTATTTTCTAGCATGTTTCGCTATACTGCTAGAGGTTAATGAGAGATCTAAGTTGTGTTGAGTGAACGCTAACCAACAGTGAATCATCATGCCGAATTATTTTGTTAATTTCTTTTTGCCTACTACATTCTAATTAAAGTAGTTTAAAGAAACAAATCAAAATTCAGAGGACTTTCCTTTTTCAATATAATTCTTACCAATAAAATTCTTATTAGTTTTTCACTATTATTCAATCGTTCTTTCACTCTGTTTTAGAAAATACAGATCATAATATTTCTAATCTTTCTACCATGATGAATACTACTACTACTACTACTAATAATAATAATAATAATACTAGGCCTACAGAAGTATTACTTGATATTGGAAGACAAATCCGTGAAGCATCAAAGTGTAATAATTACACAATTCCAACATCTTATGTAACAACTGTAAATGTACCTCAGGTAAGTAGAGTTAAGTAAGTTTTTTTACCCCCCAAAAAACGTTAACAGAGTAGTAACAAATAATATCTGCTTATTTTAATTCATGTTAATTCTGTTTATGAAACTCAATGGTGAAATTTACTGTAAATAGTTTTGTTTAAATAAACTTATTCATGATATTAATGATGTAGAGCATAAATAAACGTGGGAAATCTGATCATTTAGGAACTGATCTTACTGTACAATAAAATGTATAATTAATTGTTAACATTGAAAATGTAGAAGATTAGGAACAAATCTTCTCTTTTTTTGAATTCATGTCATCCAAAATTCTAAATTATCTTGTAGAATTCAAATAGGAAGAGTCTACACTTTAGTAAATGCAAAATGTTGCTTCAGGATTGGGTTGCATCGACACATGTACTAATGATAGGGAGTGAAGTAGTTGAGCGTGTAAACCGCTTCACTTATCTTGGAAGTCTCATCAACCCTTGTGGTCTGGTATGTGACAAAATCTCAGCATGGATAAGGAAAACTTGTCTAGCTTTTGCCAACTTGCGTCATTTATGGAGTAGGCGAGATATCCCTCTACCAATCAAAGGACGGGTTTACTGTGCAGCTGGTCGTTCCGTCCTACATTATGGCTGTGAAACATGGCCGGTAAGAGTAGAGGATATTCGTAGGTTACTAGTATTTGATCATAGGTGTCTTCGAAACATTGCTCGTATATCCTGGGAACACCGAGTAACTAATGCAGTTGTTAGGAAACGAGTACTAGGTAAGGATGGAAAATCAATTGATGACGTAGTGAAACTTCATCAGTTGAGATGGCTGGGACATATGTGGCACGCGGGACTACAGCCCAATATCTTCGGTTTGGCGAGCGGACGTTTGACTTATAGGCCTGTGAGCCGGCATCTAACAGTGTTAATTTCCAACTACAGTCGATCCTTGATCTTCCACAACCCTTCATCCATTGTCTGAGGTGGATAACTGTCTCACACCTGACACGATACTACATCAGCTGTCTAGAGGTTAAACGTTTGCGCACAAGGATGAAGGTCCTAGGTTCGAGTCTTGCGTGTAGAATCATGGATACACGTTGCTGAAGAGTCCTATATTAGGACGAAACGGCTGTTCAATGCTTTCAGGTTTTCAGTGGTGGTCTAGCTTTGGTCGACTGATTCATATTATTAGGTGTACATTGATTCAACTTCACCACAGATTATATGAACACAGTCAAAGGAAAACAAGTGAATTGTAAATATTATATATTTTAATATTAGATAATGACTGATGGCTAAATGAACTTTTCTTAAAATATTCATTTTATATTAATTAGTATTTAAACCATTTAAATGAAGATGAAGAATTAATGTTAAACATGAGTAATACTAAATCAACAGTATTAAATCAAGAATTTGTTAATCAATTAAAACAACCTATTACTATCCATGATACGGTTAGTACATCGAATTCAGAGAATCGAATTTCCTTATCACCAAGGTAATAATCATTGTTTTGTATACTTTCAGTATTGTAATGTGTTATACTTTGTTGTTGTGATCATACCACTGTTTCTTCGTTTTCATTATTTAATAATTGGGGGGGGGATTATGAAATTTTAGGTAATGTTATTTGATTGAAGTGTCTGATCATACGATAGAGTTAACTGGGAACAATCTGGGTCTAAAACAATGATTTTGTTTAGAAAGTGGTGCTACAGACCTTAGTTCCTGAAGTGTTTTTTTTTGGGATTCAGTACGCCAGTGTATAGGGTTGGGAGGCAGTCGCTAGCAACTGTGTATGTCTAAAGCTAATACTGACCGTTAACTTTCAGGAGCAGAGATCTAGTGAATGCACAAAAACTGGAAGCAATTCTTACAAGCGCTGAGAAGTCACAATTATAGTAATAAGTGTGTTGAATATTACGAATTTATGTGAGTACTTAGAAGTGCCATACAAGAAGAATGAAATGTGGTACACCATATACTGAAAATCATGAAAAGTAAAGTGAATTACTGAATATTATTAAGTAGTATGGTACAACACGCTAAAATTATAGACTAAGAGAAATGAAGGCAAAATGCATTTAGAGAATTCACAGTTTTTTCTGAGATAAAAAGCTGGGAGAGTAATGATTTCACCTTATTATTATAATAAGTAAATTGTTTTTATTACTGGTAATGGTTTTATCCTAATAAGGGGACCAATAAACTTAATTCAATAGTATGGTACTCTGTAATTGTGACAGATAATTGAACTCTGTGAACTCAAAGTCTATAATTGTTGATGGAATGTTGAGTTCGACTTTTAGTCACTGGGTTAAAAATGTTGAAATTATGCCTTCTTTATATCATTTAAGTATTCGATTGGTATGATTTGCTCTATAATATAAGGTGTGATTCAGCGTTAGTTGGATAAATAAGTCTAGAAATAAACATTGATTTCTAAATGTTATCAGTGATAAGATACAGCTTGAATAACTGAATGCCTCAGGGGATTCAATACAATTGGATCGCTAAATTTGAAGGTTTCAATATTCAATACCTTATTTGGTCGCTGGTGTGGACGCATTCTTCAGTAGTCTATGTTTTTCAATAGTTCTCTCATCAAATAAAAGCTTTTATCAGTGTCAGTATGAGGTCATGGAGATTGTTAAGTTTTTGAATGAGATCATGAATCCATTGATGTAAGATCACCAATAAAAGCTTGGTAGAGACAGGTGTCTACCTCAGTATAATGGAAGATGGTTGCGCGATTTCGTGGATTTGTTGAGGTTAGACATTAACACCGATGGATGCTGGCGCAGCGATCTAGATGTTTAGCATTGGCGTACGAGATCAAAGGTCCTGGGTTCAAATACTGCAAGCGGGATCGTGGATGAGCACTGTTGAGTGGTGCCATAATAGGACGAAACGGCTGTTCAGTACTTCCATGTTTTCAATGATGATATAACATTAATCGATTCATGATCATAATCAAACAATCTCCACTCTAAATCATCATGTATCATAATGATTAAATGTTTTACTGAACCAACAAATCTTTATTCCAATTGTTTGTGTTTTCTTGTTTTTTAGTATGAAATTTATAGAGAACAATGAAGCTAATGATAAAAACATTTCACAACCCACTATTGTTCCTTTTAATCTATCAATCAATGATCAATGTCAACAACAATCTAATCAACAAGATCATTGTAGTCATAACCAACTGAAATGTCAACATTTAACACGATCAAGATTGAATACACCAGCAGTTGATAGGAAATTGACAAATAGCTTATTACATAATAGCAGTAATAATGATGATAATAATAATAGTTATAGTATTAATAATCATAATGTTTCTACTCATATTACTAGTAATACTGTTAATAATTCATTATTTCGTGTTGCTGAATGGGTCAGTTCAATTAGTACACCACATTCATGTCAATTAATTGATTTTGATAATACAATCAATTGTTCATTATGTCATAATGGTTATAAGAAGAGTAACACTAATGTTAATGATATTACCACTAATAATACTACTACTAATGATAATACTACTAATAATCATATCAGTAGTAATAATTCATATCAATGTTTAAATGATTCATGTTCAAATATGATCACTATAAAGAATTCAATAAAATCAAATTTAATAAAAGAAAAAAATTATTCAAATTATTCTATTCATTCAATAACACCATCCACATTGAATGATTCAGCAATTGGTTCATTAAATTATACAAAACAAAATGATTCATTAATGAATTCAGTGTATCGATTAAAATTAAATGAAAAATTAGATAATAAACAAGGAGTTTCATTATATAAGTAAGAGTATATTAATATAGTTATGAATTAAATATTCATCTTCCTTCCTTCCTTCCTTCCTCACTTACTTACTTACTTACTTACTCACTCACTCACTCACTCACTCACTCACTCACTCACTCACTCACTCACTCACTCACTCACTCACTCACTCACTCACTCACTCACTCACTCACTCACTCACTCACTCACTCACTCACTCACTCACTCACTCACTCACTCACTCACTCACTCACTCACTCACTCACTCACTCACTCACTCACTCACTCACTCACTCACTCACTCACTCACTCACTCACTCACTCACTCACTCACTCACTCACTCACTCACTCACTCACTCACCACTCACTCACTCACTCACTCACTCACTCACTCACTCACTCACTCACTCACTCACTCACTTACTTACTTACTTACTTACTCACACTCACTCACTCACTCACTCAC